ATTTATAAATGTGATGAATGTCAAACTTAAGCGTATAAAACACAAGAAAAAAGATCACAAAAAAATATTATATAAAATCTAAAAAAAAAAAAAACAGTTTAGTAAGAAAGCTGAAATGTAGCGAGAAATAAAAACTAACCTAAGCATAACCCACGATTTTAGAGCTAAGCATAGAGCGAGAGGGATACGTGAATACAGCCCCATAGTTTTTAAAAGGGAATTACAGAGTAGATCATCAGCGCAAGGCAGCAAACTGAAACAAAGTGAAGTAAACCACGTTATATAGAGGGCAGTAAAATTGCCATGAGAACGCTCACGGCGTAGCGATCAAAAGAAGTATCTCGACATACAACAGAAAATTGAAATATAAGTTTATGTACACCTAAGTTATGGATAAGCTAATGAAAAGTTGCTATGGATGCAAACAAAAATGAAAGAAAAAAACCCAAAAACTTATAAAACTAAACTGAATGGAAATATGAATAAAGAAAATCTGATTTAAATTTTGAAAGAGTACCCACGTTTAAGTCGGCGCCCTCGTTTCCAGCGTAAACTCCACATCCATTTGGCCAAAGCTGCTCCGAGGCAGTACATCGGGAATCCAGTTTATATATAGGCCACTTTTTATCTGTAACTTATGAATTGCATTAGAATTGCAAATAACGTTTAAACGTGTTAGGCTTAGCAATTAGCAAGGCTGCAAGGCAAATTATTTAATTAACTTATTATCGTTTGAATGGACTGCATTATATCAATTTAACTAATGCACATCTACATTCGTATGGACTTGCAGAACTTTTAGCATTTCGAGACTATATTAAATATTGCAAACGAGTCTCTAAATACGAAAGTGGCTGCCATAAATTGGGTTACCGAATGTTATCTTGCAATTACAGCCTTGCTAACAACTAGTTTTTTTTAGACTATCTCAATTGCACCTGCTGCTCGACATCAAAGACCATTTTAACCACATAGAGCCGCAGCTTGGCATGCACCGGGCGTTGTCTGTGCTGTGTTGATGCCTGAGTGGGCGTCTGTCTCACATACGGCACAAAATGTCCAAGTGCATGGCGCTCAAAGCACCTTTCCAGCTGCAAGTTAAGCTGCTCAAAGAGAAATGCACATGTAAGTCGCCAGTTTAGAGTCTCCTGAGACACTTTATACACACATTGCGACTGCTGAAGATGCGTTTCACAGTGTGCGAGGCACTGAAGTGCCACACATACTTGCTCAGACCTTTGTGCTTGCCAGAGTCAATGACTGCCACTTGATGCAAGGGACGGCGCTTGATGCCAGCACTGAAGCTCTTGCTTAAGTGCGAGAATGTTTCCTATAATGTAGGAGTATTAGTTTAGCCATAAATATGTATAAATTACTCTTTATAGGTGCTTCAGTGCTCTCACCTTGTGCACATGAAACGTTTGCAGTATTTGCCTCGTGCTAATTGCCTGCTGAGGCGCAGGTTCCGGCTCGATGGTTGAGTTGAGGAGCTCTATCACATAGTCCAGCCAGGCTTCATATGCCAACGCTGGCTGCACAGCCACGCCCACAGGCTCAACTACAGTTGTACACGTAGGTTCATTCACAATGAGCGCACGCTTTGCTGGCAGTGGAGGTTGCTTGCGCGTCTTGACCTCATCCACAATTTCAGATGCTTTGATGGCCGCCTTCTTGACGACCGCAATCGTGGGCAGCTCTATGGCGGGCAGCTGATTGGTGGCTGCCGGCGGCGCCTTTGCGTAGATGGGCTGAGGCGTCAGTATGTTGTACGGCTCGCTGACCAACGGCAGCTCAATATCCTCGCTGCACAAATCGATCTGGTCGGTCAGTTGATATTGATCCATGAGCTCAATATTGCAATCGGTCAGCTCTAGATGTTGATCCTGCTGCTGCTCAGCGTATATATCGAAGTTAGACAAGAGCTGGGCATCGTTGGGAGCACAACTACTGCTGACGCTGTGTGCGGCAGGCATCGAATCCATGTCGTATATGATATCTGAGAACTCCTCTGGCATGGGCAGCAGCTGTAAGATTGAAACATGAAATTGGCAGACCTTTATAACTACATCAGACTTACATCCGTGTCAGCTACACAGAACTCATTGTCAAAGATATATATGTCTTCGGAGAGATCAACATCGCCGCTTGGGATTATGCTTAGGCTTAGACGTAAATCGTCGTGTGTGGCTTCGCCTAGAGGCGTCTCCAGTTTGTCGGGCATCCAAAATGTCTGCAGACTCTTTGTAAAGTTGCCATAAATCGTCTTGCCCTGTGGTGAACTGAGTATGCCAGCCAGCACGAGGAGCAGATGATCACAAATCTCATCCTGCATAACCAGGGAGTTGTCTGGCTCCACGATAATCTTTAGCTTGCGACAGGCACACGCATAGGTGCCCTTCTTGGTGGAGAGTCCGTTGGCCAGCGCCGTCACATGCAGATGCGCCGCTGGAAACGTGTTCGAACGTTGACATTTGACCACAAAAGTAGTTGCATTTAGTCGCTGCACTGCCGGCCAGTGGTCCTGCTCCTCGGCCGATTTATACTGCTGCCAGAGCTGTTGCTTTTGCTCTATCGTAATATTCAGATTCCAGAGCACCTCACGCGACACGGTGTACACCTGCGCCATGGGCATCTGATCCTGACCATCGCGACAGGCTTTGATGTGCCTGCAATCGCTGTCAGCCTTACACGCATCCACATAACACACAGCCTTGCTGGAAACAACGGCTGCATTCGGTTGCAACGACAACGTCACATCCTCAAATGACACAAAATTTCGCGGCTGAGCCTCTGGATCCCGTTCTTTGGTCCGCACCGAATAGACCGTACAACCGGCACGTTGGCACACCAGCTGCACTCCATCGAGCTGATTTTTGTTTTGGGGGCACGTAAGATTCCTACAGAAGAGAGCACGACTGCCATTTATGGCGCCGCAACTTGAACATTTTCTTAAACCGCGTAACGTTGGAGGTCGAATTTGTATTAAATCCGTACATTTACTCTCGTTAGACATATTTACAGCGCTGCCATACTGTTTAATAAGAGTGTCAATCTATCGATAAGTATAGGGTTTTTGCAATTACTATCGTTAAATTAGCGCGAAAATACATTTTGAAATGTAAAACCAAACTTGTTAAACCCCAAACTTAAGTGTAAATGAAATAAAAGTTAGAGCTCCTTCAACTTTAAATGAAAACTGTATTTACATAATTAAGTTCGTATGCATGCCGCATGTCGCTGCAAACTCTCTAGGCAATCGAATTCCACCTGTGCCTCAATCCAACGAGCCACTGTAAGCAGCAGCTGCTCATTCAGGTTATTGCTCATCAGCTGAAGACTAAGCGGCAAGCCGGCTCTGGACAGTCGTATAGGTATCGAGACAGCTGGGATTCCTGCCATATTGGCTGGCTGTGTGCAAAAGTCCTGTACGGCGCACTGATCGCGGTTGCTCAGAGCGGCAAAGTCCTTGTAGACAGGCGCTTCACTTAGCGTTGTGGGCGTTAATAATATATCCACTTGGTCCTCGGTTGTCGGTGGCTCGAACACTTTAATAAAATCTTCAGCGATCAAACGACGCACACGCAAAGCCTTCTCAAAATAGTGATCATAGTTTTTGCGCAGTAGCAGAAAGTTTCCCGTTAATATGCGCGTCTTGACCACCTGGTTAAAGCCTTCAGCTCTAGACTGTGCATAGAGCTGCTCAGTGCTTCGCTCGTCTGCTGCTCGGTGTCCATACTCGATGCCATCGTACCGCGCCATATTACTAGCAACCTCACATTGATTCAGTATGGAGTATACGAATATGCTGGCCGCAGTGTGAGGCAATGATATCTGTCGAACGCTGGCACCTGCGCACTCCAGTAGGTCCGCCACCTTGGTCCAGGTTTCCAGGACTTCAGACGAAAGTCCCTCGCAGTTATATTCTTTGGGTATGCCAATGCGCAGAGAACGCAAATCAATTTGATCAATTTCTGGTAATTTTAGTTTCTTGTATGGCCTTCTTATTGTCGTCGAGTCCTGTATATCCGGACCGGCTATGGTATTAAGCAGCTCAACACAGTCGGTTACCGATCGGGTTAATATGCCGGGCACATCCATTGAATTAACAAGTGGTATGAGACCGTAGCGAGAACAAAGACCATATGTTGGCTTTAGTCCCACTACGCCACAATAGGAGGCGGGGTTGCGCGTTGATCCGCCCGTATCAGAGCCAATCGCTCTGCAATAAGAGTAGAAATTAATTGGTTTGAAATAAATTCATTTTTACCTCGTATAGTCATCGATAAATCTTGATCTGTAAATACAGCTATCGATATATTACTTGAAGGTTTTTTTTGACACAGCTGTGAAACGGTCACACTGCGCCATCAGCGAACGCAAAGTAAAATATTTACGTGAAATTGCGAATAATTTGTAGCGTATTGAAGCGATGTCTGCGCTCTTTCGCCTAACCAGCCGTGCCGTGGCACTGCAGCGCTCAGCAGCGCTCAATCAGGCAGCAGCGCTACGCCTGTGCCGCAGCATCAAAACATCACCCAAGAAGGATGAAACGGTTGCAGCACCAGCCACCGTTACGACCGAAGACTTTGCTAATCCCAACCCAAAGAACTGGATAAGCTACGGCTTCGATTACAAAAGTGAGGCTGAGGATCGCAAAGCAACAAAATCGACATTCTTCTTTGCAGTCACACTGTGCCTTGTGTGGGGCACATTTTATTGGTCCTATTTACCCGATACGAAGTTGCGCGACTGGGCTCAACGCGAGGGCTTTTTGGAGCTGCGTCGCCGCGAGGAAGCGGGCGTCGATTTGATTAGCCCCAATTATGTGGATCCCGATAAGATTGTGCTGCCATCGGACGAGGATCTCGGCCAAACGGAAATTATTATTTAAACAATTAGTGAACTAACCCTTAGTTTGTTTTGTAAGCGAATGTTATGTAATGGAAAATGCTGTTGGCCACAGCGGAACGCGTTTCATGTGCGTAAATAAACGAACATATTTCGGCACGAACTTATTTGTCAGGGACTGTCTTTGCTTTTTAAAAGTGAGCTAAGCTAAAATACGCAGTTTTATCAATTGTTGTTACAACTGCTGCATTTTGAGGTTAGGTTGGATCAAAAATGTAAACAAAAGAACTTACGCATAACACAAACCAGCAGCAACAGCTGATGCGGAGCCGCCCGAACTACCGCCTGCTATGCGCCAATTGTCCTCACTAAAGGACTCACTCCATATGTTCTTGGTTGGCCCATAGATGGAGTCCACTGTGCCGGCACCCATAGCAAATTGATCCATGTTCGTCTTGCCCAATATAACGGCGCCGGCTTCTTTTAAACGCGAGCAGACAGTCGCATCGTAGGGCGGCACAAAATCCTTTAGCATGCTGTAACCGGATTTTTTAGTTAATAGCATCTTTCATTTAACAGTAATCTTGAGGTACTTACCGTGAAGCGCAAGTTGTGGCTATATTCTTTGTACAGAAATTGTCCTTAATGGCTACGGTAACGCCATCCAGACTGCTCAATGGCTTCTGCTCCGCATACCGGCGAACCGACTCCTTGGCCTGCTGTAACGCCTGCTCGGCTGCAATGCACACAAAGGCGTTCAACGTCTTTAGGTTAGTGGACTGTGCCAGCGCTTGCTCCGCCACCGACAGTGGAGACAATTGTCCATTGATGTAACTTTCGGTTAGCTGAAATTTTGGGTCTGTTAAGAAACATAGAAGAAATGTTGACAATTTCTCATACCTGTTTAATACTCAGCTGTAGGTGGCGCCTCATAATAGCAATACAAAATATAACTGAAAAACTCTTGCTTTAATTTAATAAAATAAAAACCACCATCATAAACAATAATTAATTCGGTTAATGCAGGCTATGTGTACGCACAGGGTGTACATCTATTTACACCCTGTCAACTAGAGATGCGCACTTAACCGATACTTTTAGCACGTTAATCAAAATTTAAACTTTAATTTGCAACTAACAAACACGTAGGTATATTTCATAAAACTCTTAGGCGATTTAACACTAATTACATATAACATTTAGCAATAGTAAACTAGAGACTAATCTATGTTGCGAAATTTGACTATATGCCCGACCGTTTTTAGTGTTTTCTGCATTCATTTGTTTTTATTCTTATCTTTCGGATTGTGGTCGTCATGGGCTGTGGTTACATTCAGAGACATATTTGCCTCCGGCTCCTTGTCCTCCTTCTTAATCTCTTGTTTAGCTGCAGTGGAAGAGGGTTCGTCGTCCTCGGTCTCAGATTCGCATTTCTGTGAATGAGAATAACCGGACATTAGAATTGTTTGCGCTAGATTTCAATTAATTCAATTCATTAATGAATGATGCTAGAAATGTACATGCAGTTATTTAGTTAATTTCAATTAGTTGAGCAGTGCATCGAACCAAGGCATATTTTCGATGCCTTCGAGAACGTTCAACATATCACTGTCGGTTTCATTAAATTCAAAATTCTGATCAGTTTGCATTGCACTTTGATTCGAGTTTTCATTAGAAACAGCATCGATAGAGGTGACTGCATCGATTGAAGGGATTTCATCTTGATTGGAAATATGATCTTGATTCTCAAATATATTGTTATTATCGGTCATATATGGATCATCCAGCCCCAGCCCCAGAACACTACAGTCCATATCGAGCAACATGGCGTAATTCTCATCAATAGAATTGGTCAAATCTTCGACGGTATCAAAGTCAAATATACCATTTGCCAACTCCAACAGATCATTCTGAGTGCTGGAGTCAATGGATTCATTGATCTGGTCATTGTCACCGTTAAAAGTCTCATCACTGCCGCCAGTCGCAAATATACTTTCGATCGACGGTATGATCGGCACTTCATAAAACTATGGATGGGGAGGGGGGGTGAGATGTCGGTATTTTATTCAAAAATTGATCACAAGCTTTTTGTTCATTAAACGCTACGAAATACTTACATATAGATATACGTATGTATGTCTAGCTAGGACTATACTATAGTATATAGTAGTTGTTTATGTGTATAAATGTTGGAACTACCGGCTAATGAAGACTGCTGCTCGATCAAAGCGATAACAATCTATAGCGATCATTTCTGTTTGTCTTTACGATTTACGTTTGTATGAATAGAGTAATGTCTATGTATGTATGTATGTATATGGAATTAGTATTTACACAAATGTAGGCGCAGAACTTATGCGTTTAGTGCTAATGCTCTAAGTAGTGCTATTGGTAGTGGTATTGGTAGTTTGGTAGTAGGTATTTGCAGGCTCAGCCTCTAAATTAACGCACCTTTTGTATATACTGGCGTTTCGCCGGCACATTCAAATGCAGCACACATGTCGAGTCCTCTAATATGCTTGCAACGGGCTCTTGGCAGACGACACCGCTGCGCTCAACACCACAGGCGCGATACAAAACCTGCCGCTTGTCCTCGAGTATATGCTTACGGCAATGCTTGCAACATGGCAAAGTGCGCTCGCCACACTTGACGCCGCCTTCAGTGAATACGCACTTCGGCTGACTGGCGGATTTGGTTGAGATCACAGTGTCGCGTGATCGCTTCTCTTTCATCTTTTTGTAGAGGAGCGCCTCCATGCCCTGTCGACGATGATAGCCATTCAGCGCCTTCAATTGCTCATACAGCTTGCGCTCGTGCGGCGTGTCCTTGAGCTGGTCATGAATACTGCCTGCAATGTCATAATTGTTGAAAAATTGTTGACCTAATAGCTGAATCACTTATTGATAAATTACAGTATGTCTCGCGCTCGCGGCGTATGTCCTGTAAATAGGAACGACGACGCTGCTTTAAGATATGCTGCAAATGTGTTATCTGCCCACGGTACAAGTTCTGCAATTTGATCAGTTTCATCTCTGACAGACGCACTGCCTCCGCACGTGTGTAAACGCCCGCATGTCTACAAATGGAGATAAATTTAATATACAAATAATTGAGCCAGTCTATGCTTACTTACTTCAGAGGATCATCCTCCTCAGAGTCTACGCTCTCATAATCAGATTCATAGAACTCCAAATCTTTTGCTGTATTTCTCAAGCATGGTGGATCTCCGTCATTGCTTGAGCTATCAGAGGCATAATCCAAAACGCGGCGACGCTTGCGCACGCTGGACACAACTTGTGGTATGCTATTCGTGTGATCCTGATTGACTGCAAAAGATAAACAAAAAGATAAATGAAAATCATAATTGGTATAACATTGATTTTAAGTGCACAAGTGTTATAGGTAAAATATTGCACCATTACGGTCGTTCACAGACTGTGGCTGCAGCAGAAACTCAACGCCTAGAGTTCGCAGATTCTATCTTTTCAGGGGGCTACTCTTGGCTTACATATAACTTTATTTACAACACTCACCAAAAGGCGTCACATGCGGCGAAACTACATCAATTTCATCATCGTCCGGTTCTGGCTTGGGCAATTCCGGCTTTATGTCCTCTACATTCACGTGATGCGATAGATTATTGAGAAGCGTCTCATTGGTCTCGACGCGGCTACGTAAGCGGCCCACCGAAGAGTGCGTCTTTTGTAGCTGCGCCTGGCGGTTGTGCTCGAAGCAAAGCGTGGTAAGTATTTGCTCCTTTTTGGTATCCAGTTTGGGCACTGCATTGGCGCATTTGCGTCCGTTAGGAAATACGTGTGTGCACTGGCGGTAATTGGCGCGTGGATCGCGCAGAATGTGGCGAATGCAAAAATCATAGCCGTCAAGGCGCATCAAACTGCACGAATATGTGGGATTGCTGCAGTACTTGATTTTTGCTAATTCGCTATGGATTTGCTCGCGTAATTTTTGTTCCTTTTCGGGTGTGCAAGCCGTTCCCGTAAATCGCGCGCATTGGCGCAATTGATTTGGGGAAAAACTAGACATTTTACGTTTATCGCTGCGACAGAATTTTCAACGATGCGACTGAAAAATGCGTTGTTGCTGTTAGAGATGTACAATTGTTATTATCGATTGCAAGCCGATATATAGCATAAACATTCGACATATATTTAGTAAAAGAACAAAGAATCGGTTCATTAGCGAGCCAGATATCGCATTAATTATCGAAATTACTAAAATCAAGCCAATTGAACTCTGCTAGATTATTAACGAGGGAAAACTGCAGTAGAAATTGTAAATATTTGTGTATAAATTATAAGCATTGCAGTTAATTTACCGCTAAAAAAGTGAAACCATGTCGGAGGACAGTGATTCAATAGCCGAGCATGAAATCGACGAAACAATGGCAAACCAAAACACGATACCCCAGCTACCAACGCACAAGCGACAGAGTTTCGTCTGGAAGTTCTTTAGTCCAGTGCCAGACCACTCGAATGTTTTCAGATGTAACGTGTGCAATGAAACCTTTGCCAACAAAACAACCAATCTAAGTAGGCATTTGCAATCAGTGCATGGCCTCGCAGAGGTGAGTAAAAGCTATTGGGATACTTTCTCATATGTATTAAGCACTATTACATCCCAAAGCAGCATCAGCAGGATTCAGTGAAGAAAGGTCGGCCGAATCGCAGTTTCGTTTGGAACTTTTGCACCAAACTGGATGAGAAGCGTGCCCTGTGCCATATTTGTAAAAAAGTGTTGTATTTTGGCGGCGGAAATACGTCCAACATAACAAAACATTTGAGACGCATGCACTCTGAAAAGCTAGAGGAAGTTGTGAGTATGGCAAATCGGAGCTAAGGATTCTTTTGATGAAACTTATCTGCTTGCAGGCTAAGCAAATGCCACTCAACATGCGCTGGTCCATGGAGCAGTCATCGAGGAAAGAGCGTAGAAGTTCCAGCTATGTGTGGAATCACTGCGAGAAACTGACGACCGATACAGTTCTATGCAGAATATGCAATCGTCGCATGCGATTCCATGGCACGGCCAACGTCATAACGCATCTGCAACGCCGGCACGGCATTATGGACGAAACGACGCAGGTGAAAACCGAGACGCCTGATAGAGTGCAGGAAGCAGCCACATCCAGCACGAACGAGAATCCGCGTAGAAACATCAGCGGCAGCCAGGTCTGGAGATACATCACACGCATTTCGGATGATGCAGTACGCTGTCGTGTGTGCCTTAAGAATCTATCGTATCAGGGCACAAGCAACCTGCAAAGGCATTTGCATCGCATGCACAATATTGTGTGGAACTCACAGCATCCGAGTGGACCGGTCAAAGCTGAAAGCCTTGACTTTGATGATAACTCGTTCTTCGCCTTCTGCGAAACCACCAGTGATCCCACGGTATGGAAGTGCCAAATGTGCGACGAGCACTTTGTGCACACCGACAATCTGGAGGAGGTCATAAGCAAGCACATGATTAAGATTCATAGCGCAGCAATGCGCGGGGAGCCAGTTGAAGTATGCCAGCAAAGTATATTGATTGATTATAGCTTAACTTAATCATAACTTGTTATCATTTAGAGTTTCGCTCCCACAGAAGAGGAGGATGAAGAGTTCGCCACTCTCTATACGGAAGTTGTTGCTGATGATCACAATACGACTGTCTCGGGAGAAGTCAGCGAGCAAGCGAGGCTAACAAATGTCGTTGCTGAGGATGCGCTCTACGATGATCTCATTGAGATTGATGAAGATCTGCAGACTGCTGAAGAGGTTGGTGAGCACTTTGCAGTTGAAAGTGATCGCTATGGGAATACATTGCCCGCGCAGTCGGGCGAAAATGTTGTTTCCGATTACAGCAACGACAGCACCGATGCCCAGCTGGTGACGACCACTATTCAAGCAGACGACACGCCGGTTATGCGTGAACTAAAGGAGGATCTACTGCGCCAACAAGCGATGTATTTCAGTGAGAAGGCTGGCTTCTATCGCATGCAAAAGTTTCTAGTGGCGCAACAGGTGCTCAAAGAGCGGCTAGAAATTGAGAAGCTCAAATCTGGACAGCAACAGCAGCAAGTCAGTTGAAGCTAGTTGTTGACGCTTCATCAGACTTCGTACGAACCCTACTGAACGTAGCTTTTAATCTTTAAGTGTAATGTATTTGTATTTAAAATTGTTATATAGACCATCTATCATAATTATTTAATCATAAATAACAAATTAATTGTGTGCAAGAGGCCCCGTCAAGCTCTCTACTTCAGTTGCTTTCAACAACGTTCATGTCCAGTAAAAGCTTCTTCGTTTGCAGATCAATTAATCGCCGCTTAGCTCTTGCCAATTCGGCCATTTCATTGTAATATATTGTTTCCGCTTTCAGCTTTTCGTCCAGTTGTGTGGTTGCTTCGCCCATTGAATTCGATTCGCCCGGATGCTCCATGGAATGGGCCATATTCGATGGATCTTCCTCACAGTGGCGGGATACCATGACGTCAGAGTTGTCCACCACATATTCGTAGAAAGGTTCCTGTAGCGAGACCGACGTAAACTTCAAACAAAATGCAACCGCAGTACATTGATGATATTCTATCTATGCCTTACCTCATCGTCCATGTGGTCCGTGACCTTCTCAATAATGCTATCCACATCGTCAAAGTCGACCTTTTCCAATGGATCGCCCTGCCTGCGGTCCTCCGGTTGCATTAGCTCCTTCTTTGGCGATATCAGGCTGTGTTGAGAGTAGCTCAGGTTTTTCGACAAATTGTGGTGCCTTCGAATAATGTGACGCATCAGATTGGAGGATGAATGTTTTGAGGAGAGCGTTTTGCTGCAGTGCTTGCATTTGGCCATAAACTCAGATATGCGCACAAAGTGCGCCCACAGCTTATTGTTTTTACCAATGACTTTGTTGCGCTCGGTTTGCTGATGTTGCTCCTGGCGCGCCTGGTTCTGGTTATCAATGATGGTGCGTACTGCAGTTTTGGTTTCCCGCTCACCCAAATTGGCATCCATGTGTACTTCAGGCTCTGGGTCTGGTGCGTTTAGTTCCTCTCTTAGCTCTGCGAGCATTTTGCCCTCGTCGCCGGCAAATATAGCTCGCGCTAATAATTTGTGATTCCTGATTAGGTGGCGCGTCAAGTTGGAGGATGTGTGTTTAGACGAGAGAGTTTTATCGCAGTGCTTGCATTGCACAATATATTCGGTAAGGCGGTGAAAATGTGACAGCGCTTTGGCATTTCGGCCTACCATGATTACATTTGGCGATTGTTGTTTTGATTTCACTAGTACGCGCAAAATCAACAAATTATGATGTTCCGAGTTGGCTTGGGTTAAAATTTTCTAGTTCATGTACAGTAGGGATGTCAGAAATTCATCGTTATATCGATTACGAATACGTATCGAACAAAAGTTACTGTGTTTTTGGTGGTTTTGGGCAGAACTGCTAGTTCACGTTTGGTGAAATTGGCAATATTTTATCGATAACGTCGATATATGCACAATTTATTTATTTGGCAAGTGGACGGTAATTCACTGAAAATGCAACTCTGCCAAAGTGCTGCCCATCGCTGTCAGTCGATAACCTAAAAATCTTTTGACACGAGGTTGTGCGTGTCTTTTCCTTTCTTTCTCGCTTTTTACTCGAACATGGGTGAGTCGTCGGCTAGTGCAAAATGTGTTAAAATATCAAGAAAATCGATTGTGATATGCATAAAAATAATAAAAAAGTGCGCAAATTACGTGCCAGTTGACAATGCATATGTGTATTATTAAAAAATAATGAAATTGGACATATATTTGGACATTTAATGTCCGACTAGCAAGCAGCACCGCGTGCTATGGTTTTCTTGATATTTCAACTGGCTCCGATTTGATTGTCTTATTCTGATGTGTGTGCATTTACTCTTGCATTCTTAAAGGTATTAGCCGTGATAGTGCACACAAGCGTCGCGCCACTGGTGGCAAGCGCAAGTCGCTCCGCAAGAAGCGTAAGTTCGAGTTGGGCCGTCCCGCTGCCAATACCAAGGTGAGTTAATTACCTGCTGCCGCCATTGTTGTTTTTATATTTTGCAATAAAATGATGTTAACGCGTGTCAACTGTAAACGCACTCGACTTGTTCGTAGGCATTATCATTGATGATTGAAGCATTATGTTCGGACTACTGACTGCATTTATATAGAAAAATAATAATTTATATGAATTTGGTATACCTTGGTAATGTCTGGCAACTCTGTGTATGTATTTTCAGCTTGGCGGATCCCGCGTGCACAAGGTGCGCACCCGTGGTGGTAACATCAAATTGCGCGCTCTTCGTTTGGAAACCGGCAATTTCGCCTGGGCTTCAGAGGGTGTTGCACGCAAGACCCGTATCGCCGATGTTGTCTACAATGCCTCCAACAACGAGTTGGTGCGCACCAAGACGCTGGTGAAGAACAGCATTGTGGTCATCGATGCGACGCCATTCCGCCAATGGTACGAGGCACACTATGTGCTGCCTCTGGGTCGCAAACGTAACCCTAAGCACGTGCAGAAGGAAGATGAGAACGATGTGCTCACAAAGAAGCGCAGCGACAAGGTCATGAAGAAGTACCTGGAGCGCCAAAAGTACGGCAAGGTGGAGCAGGCTTTGGAGGATCAGTTCACATCTGGTCGTATCTTGGGTACGTATTTCCACAGTTCCAGCAAATAATAAGCAAAATATCGATGATGTTAAACCCTTAGCGATCCAACTACTTTATTGTGTCAATCTTGTTTTAAGTGAGACGCAAGCCTGTTGGGCGTGATTTATGCTTGTCATAGTTACTCTGAGAGCTTTGCTTATCTAGTTAATTAAATATGACCTGTTGTTTCGCATATTAATGTATTTCATTTGTTTTTATCAAACAGCTTGCGTTTCATCCCGCCCCGGCCAGTGCGGTCGCTCCGATGGTTACATTCTGGAAGGCAAGGAATTGGAATTCTACCTTAAGAAGATCAAGTCTAAGAAATAAACGCACTAGATAAGAATGCAAACCAACAACTGATTTGCAAACAGAAAACAAATAAAACGGCTTGTTTTTTTATAAGAAGAATCAATCAATACATTTTACTCTATCGACTGCGTGCGTGTGTGTGCGTGCGTTCTGCTTAGAACTATGTTAAATAGTTTCTGTTTGTAATTTTTAATTGGTATTAAAAGAACAAAAGTGAATGGAATGTAGAATTCGTGGTAATCGAGTTTGTATTCTCGGATATTATTTTTGGGCTATTACAGGATATTTCCTATATAGTTTATTAGAATATGTATATGTATTATAGAAGAATCTCTCCCAGATTGCTTTCATTTACATTTTTACAACTTCATTACTTAAAAGTATATTGGATTCTAGAGATAAAAGTTAGGTCTTTGTAACTATATAGAAAATATTCTGAAATATTGGATTTCTCATTTTAAAATTCAATGTTTGCTTAGTTTCGAATAGTTTTGATTAAAGCTAGCTTAGCGAATTAATACCTTTAGGAATATTTGAACAATATTTAATTTCGGTGTGACTTAATACTACTATTAGTGGATTATTAACGGGAATGTGATTTATGGATTTAGAACCTGATCAGCTTTAAGCTCTATAGAATTTTACAGTTTACAAGTTTGATATATTAGTAAAATTGAAACTATGCTAGAGAAACTTTTATAGGAACATCCCAGAAGTAATTGAATATCATTTTATTTTGAATCAATACACTTAGCTTTTAAAAGCTACTAAAACTACTAGTAGTATTTTTCAAAATATAAAATCGATTATCAGACGACACATCGCTTCATAATTGTGGCATATATTTTGGAATAGTTTTTATTGCAATCACATTTTCGAATGAAAATTCGTTGTCAACTACTTCTCTTGTTAGTCCATAAAACGGAAGACATTAATTTATATTGTAAGACGAAAATAAAAAACATTTTCAATTCATACTTAAATGAGATATATTTTTAAGGTATTTTTTTTTTCTTCACTTCCTTCTCTGCGAGCTGACTTCATACAGTGTGGTAGAAAAATATATTTATATATATACGTAATTAATAACAATAGTTCAAATATCATTCGTATTAGTTGGCTATAATTACATAACACAAGCAGGGCGACTCACAATGTCGTAAATCACGAAATCTACAACAAATATTCCATGTAATTTGTACTGCCAATGACAATTTTGGATTTGTTGCGGCCTAAAGGAAAATAACAAAACAATTTTGGAAGCAACAGTCAAATGCTGCTTATGCTGCTGCTGCTGTTGTTGTTGTTGTTGCTGCTGCTGTTTGGAGAACGGGGCTCAGTGCTCGAAGAGCATGGTCATGAGGGCCATCAAAGCAATGCCAAAGACCAGCGCCAGCAGCTGTTTGACAGACTCCTTGCGCTCATCCTCCTTCAAGAGATCTGGTAATACTGTAACCAATGAAATGTGCAGAAAACCGCCAGCGGTAAACGGCATGATCCAGGATGTGCGCGCCTCTATAAAATCACAGAAATTAGCTCAGCTTAAGTCAAGGTCTCCGGCTGCTTACCCATGGCCGAGGTGACGCCCGAACCGCCAATGGCCACCAGGGCGCCCAAGAGACCAGCACCAGCTGTCAGCAGCTGTGCGCGTGCCGCATCCCATCGACTGAAGCCGGAACGCAACAATATGGCAAAGTCGCCGACCTCGTGTGGAATTTCATGCACTGCAAATATAGAAACTGTTAGGCAATGCTGTGGATTGGGTACGCCGACTTGGATACTGACGCAGTATGGCAAAGGTAGCCAGCACTCCGTGCCTGAAGGAGACCAGGAAGGAGCCAGCGACCGCTAGGCCGTGTGTGAAATTGTCAATGGAATTGGCCAATAGATTCAGATAGCCGGCTACTTTCCTGGGCTGCTCCTTTGGCTCCTTGGTCTTCAGTTCGCGCTCACGAAAATGACACATTTTGTCCACATCCTCAATGTCGCAGGCACCGCAGCTATCCATGGTCTCGCCCTCTGGCAGCTTGCCACCATGACGCCGGAGCAGACAGTTGGCAATCTCCACGCATTTCGGTTGCGGATTCTGCTCATCGGCGTTCGTGTAGCCTGAGAAGATCTTCTCGACAATGGTAAAGATGAGTATGCCGGAGAGCACCCACAAGCCGGAGCGCAGTGATGGATGACTATCGTTATCTGTAGCAAGATAATTTTTAATAGCATTCAATTCGGATCATCTAGGGAATCCCAGAGATAAAACTCACTCTGATTATCGCCCTCCCAGGCCTCTGGCAGCAAGTGCAGAAATACATCACCCAAAAGTCCGCCCACTGCAAAGCTAAGCAACACACGCAAAAACTTTGACTCAGCAGCTATAAGATAGGAGATATATATAAATATATTTGCAGATATTGTGTAATTGCTCCTACTCACGATCTTTATAGCCGTCCTTAGTCATTTTTTCGTCTGTGGGTATTATAAGCAAGGGAAATATACCGCTGAGTCCAATCACTACTGAGCCGAGCAGTGAGAAGACCCAGGGTGTATATTCCAGATTCTTGATATATTCGGGCACATATTGATTGACCAGACTCGTGTAGATCACAGCAAAATGCTCGTTGAAGAAGCTGCTGCTGTCATTCATCTTGATGGATTTTGTTTGCTAATTTGATCACGTGGACTGCGCGTCCGCTTTCTCCTCTTCGATTCAGGGGCAGGTGGTCACCGTCTTTGGTATTTGACTTTTTGGGCTCAGTCAATGCCTTGTCATGTCCTCCAATTGCAATGCTTGAGCCAATCGTATTGTATGCCGTCTTAGCTGCAAAGCCCAACAAAAAATAGGTTCAAATATGAAATTTTTTTTAAAGGTATTATATAAACATTATGTTTAGGTGTTGAATTTTTTTTTTATGATTTCACACGAGAATTTTGGAGTATTACTGTGATAGCAGGATTACACATCAAGTTGAGTCAACGGCCCGCTCGCCTAGCAACCGCTCCGTTGGCTCCTTCACTGATATTAGATTGATATACAAATCCCCCCCATGGATAGCGTACAATGAACGTCACATCGATAAGCGTTTCTGGTGTAAGACTCAAGTATCACTCAGCTTAAATATGACCAGATAACTAGATAGCCGGGTGTAGAATGTGACAGCTGCCCATAAGTCGGGCGGCTCAAGAAAGATTTTGTCAACATTGTAAGGATTGTCATGGGGGAAAAAAAAGCACCACGACTTTAATTTGACCGTCGAAAATGACTTCTAACAATATTCTTTAGAACTTTAAGATTCGTTTTAATGTCTATTGATTATTAGAATATGAATGATCGTTACTTTAGTTATCGTAGTTATCTAAGCTTTATATAAAGTTTTGATATTCCAACTTAGATATTAAGTTATTATAATGTATAAAATGATTATTTTTGCAGATTGACCTTCAACGTTTGATAGTAAAGTTACTGCAAAGTCTTCCTCTTAAGCCACGAATGAGTATTATACAGTCGTTGACGCCTGACTGTAAATTCTTACTGGTTTACAGACTACGCTCGCATATATTTTTCATTATTTATGCAGAACACATCATAATATATCAAAACATTACATTAAACATTAACTTCACATTTATTGAAAATATGAAAAGCTCAAACAATTGTTTAGCTAATGTAAATATATTTTTTTACGAGCTTATCTGAACTTATAAATGTTAATAAAAGTGAGCAACAGCTGTTAAGTTTGAGTTCTAAGTTTCAGTTGATATTTTTCACTGCAAAACAAAATCACATATCAAACATCAGTGTATGAACACATACGTTACAAACTGCAAGATTAGGATTTGTAACTTCGATCTTTATAGTGCATACAATTTATATTATTGAGCAAACTAATTTGATTCACTAGAAAATCACGTCTTCTTTGCACATAGATAAACCTCAAGCCGTGTAATGCGATGCCTGCCCCAGGGGCAATACAAAACACGTTCGGCTCAAGGAATACGAGCTGTATGAGTGTAAACGCACACAAAGCACTCGATAATTGGCGAGCTCACTTTGAGGAGAGTCGCAAGCTAAAACCCTTTTCGGGAGAACACACAATCCGTACCGAAATCCTTAGTCGCGGGCAAGCAGAAGCAGACTGAACATGGGCGAAATATGGGCAAGAGTTCGTTACCACTTGGGAACGTACGCAGATAAAGCTCTCTGTGGGTGATTTACGACCCACATTTTGACTTTACTTGAGTCTTCTATATATATATGTATATATATGTGATTTGATGTGCGCAATGCAGCTTAAACTGTTCAAGCGATAAGATAGAATGGCAATACGAGCGTGTCGAAGATATAGACTCGATATAGACGACTTATGTGTGATTCGACCACAAAGCCCGTGTCCGAGCCGCAGCCGTAGTCGTAGTCGTAGTCGTAGGAGCAGCAGCAGCAGCTGGCTCCAAGTGTCAGTGTGTTGTCAACCGTGGATAAATCGCTGCAGAAACGTGTACAAATGGTGTCTGATTGATCACCCGCCGTTCGCCGAATGCTCTGGACACTTGAAAATATCACGTATTCGTTGACCAATGCCGCATTTAGGCATAGCAAATACATTTAAACGCTTTCGATTCAACAACAGCCAACTGGCAACTCTGCCGAGCAGCGCCATCAATGTCAACAGCATTAGCAGCGGCGTCGACAGCGACGGCGACGCTGACAGCGACTTCGTTAGTGTTTTGTTTTTGCTTATCAGCCAAAGTCAAGTAGTTAACTGTTTTTTGATTGTCTACTAGTTGTTATAGTCTCTACTATTAGAAAATTTTGAAATAAAGGTACACTCGTTTTCTTAACCAATATGTGACAAGAATAAGCAAGCTTCGCCGATCTCTGAATATTGAACTACTACCTAAAGAACTGAAGAAATTTTAATACAATTTTAAATTACTATTCATAAAAAAATGTATATTAAAAGAATTTTCCCATTACATATCTATAAATCCATATATATTATTAAGAATTTTCATACTACAGAGTAACTGCTAGTCGATCATTGCTAACATTCGCACGCCCAATTTTCTTGTGATTTATATGCTAATCAACGACGACGCACTTTGTTTGTTGGTAAATGCATTTGTTGTAGATAGTTAGCTAACTATTGGCTGCGGTTCCCTTATCAAAGAATAACCAAGTGCTATAAAAAGAAAAGCAATTAATTATCTGGAGAGAGAAATGTAAAACCGGACTAAGTGTTCCTTTGTTCCAAGGTTACCACAGTTTCTATTGTGAATAATTCTGCGAATGTGTAACGCATTTCAATAGACATATCAGACCACATAGTCTATAAATATATATTACTGCACTGGCCAATTAATATACAATATAACTGATTCATCACAGTGGAGTGGAGCTCATGTACATATGTATGTATATATAAGTCGTACCGATCGGGCTGTTATATACTATACGTAGTGGCAACGCGAACTATCATTCGAAATTTCTTCTGGAGTACGAAATAGTCCATGTATACATATATATAGATAGATATATATGGTTTTATATACACATACACACATGCATTTATTTAAAATAGTACAAAATAGTAGAACATTACATTACATATGTATCTCATTCGAAAGAAGCTGGGACTGTTGAAATTCATATTTGCATATTTGTTATGCTATCGAGCCATTTGTTTAAACAAGCTAACACGAAGAACAAGGTAAACTTGGTTAAGACCTGTATTTTGTTCTGCTGTTGGTTTTTATTTTCTATAGCTAAAGGCAAAAACTGTAGCACATACCCAACGAAAAAAAAAAAAAAAAATGAATACGAAATATACTGGGTAGGAGTACAATGCTTGATATCACAGTAACGACTTTATATTACGCACAAACAAAAACACATTTCAATTATAGAAATTGAAATTCACTGACACACATGTACATGCCTACAACTATATACATCTTTAAAGATATGGAGGACAAAAGCCTCAGATATTTAATGTATGTGTGTTTGTAGATTTGCCTCTCGACACAAATTTACGAAATATCGCGCCGCCGGCTACGTTCGCCGGTGCTTTGAACTTGATTTGCGGCATCCGTGTATCTGTATATACATACATACGTGTATATATTTATATACATATGTATATATTTTCGTTTGTGTATTTGTTTATCTTTCACCTCAAACACAATACCATGCGCTCTGGCACTCACTTGACTTGCGGCTAATGCGGAAATTTATGCTCCCAGCTTTAGAAATTCGTTTTTGCTTTATTTATTCGCGCGTCTTATCGCGCCAGCGACTTGGTTCGTTCTGACGGCTGTGGCGCGATGCCTGGGCTTTTAAATATCCCAGCAGCGGACTGTGAAACAGTTACAGAATTCTATTTGGAACCCCCAACTTTAAGCTATGGAGCAGACACTGTCAGACAGATGATTCAATTACAATCGACTTGTTCTTGTTGTTGTTGTATTGAATTTTATTGAGCTTTTAAATGGCGCAGATTATTTTGCGCGCTGCACTAAACTTTTAGCCAGAGACAGCAACCGACTGCCAGAGAGAAAAAGACTCAGACACAGGCATTAAGAGAGCCAGATGTGCTATAAAATAACAAGCATAAACAGGTTATCAATGATAGTACACCCTAAGATGATTTATAATGTTTCTAAATTGAGCTCTACAGTTGCTAAATTTTTAGAAAGGGTTTGTAATATAGTATATGTATGTAGACTGATTATCAAGAAGCCGAGTTTTTTAATGATTGCATTTTGCAAGACAAAAGAGAGAACGTAATGCTGATAAGATTTTACCCGTTCATCAAGATCTATTAAGATCATAGGTCCAACGAAATGTTTCTTGCTCTAATCAATAAATAAGTTACCGAAAACGGCTTTTCTATTAACAACTATTACAAATCCATGCATATACAGAAAGCAACGATGTTTCCTCAGTGATATGCATGTCAACTTGTAACTACTTAAAGTAAATAGTCAAAAACTGTTATACTATACTAGACTATGTGTCATAATGTCGAACGGAAGAAATGATTTGATCACAGGTTATTAGCACTTCAGTATGTACACAGACACAAAAGCAAACACATATGTATGTGCTTGCAAAAACAAAAACAACAATGAGTGACAATATGATAAGAGCAAGACCGTGTGAGTGGATCAGCTGTGCCCAGAGCGTGGGTGAGAACGATGCAGCGAGTTCAAGGCAGTGAGAGTTGGCATCGTTGAGAGCAAAAGTGGAGAAACATGGCGTCGATTAGCGCGCTCTCTTACATTCATGTCATATGTGCATTCACACACACACTCATAGTGATACATGTATATATGTACATGTATATACAAATGGTTATGCATAACAACGAGTTGTGAAATTTGAAGTATTTTACATTTATTCACAAAATCATGAAACAATATATTTTATTTGCAAGCAGGTTTTAGAGTATTAACGGCGCAATAGCGACGAATAACCTGTTTATCACACATCAATCTTACTGTTACGATTGTTGTAGATGTTGTGCGTGTTATCGCCTTGATTATGGTCAACAAAACAATTCGGCCATATTTGAGTGGCACTCACTGCACAGATTCTCAATTAATTTAGTGCTGTTTGCAAAAATAAACAAATATGGCCGTAGCTCTGACGTTATCGAAACTTCAGACTGCAAACACACAAACGTATCCATATATATTTTGTATGTTTTGTGGGTGTAGGTTAGTTACACTTCCGCCTTACCGTGCTGGTTGTTTTATTGATTGCAGTTTACACTATCGCAGTGGTTGCGTTATTCCACTGTATTATATTAACAAACGAAATTTTTGCTTAACATTTGATCGTCGGAACTTCTCTGTTGTTTTTTATTCTAGGTAAATGCGATAAATATGCTTAATGCGCAGTATCGATCTTTGAATGACGCTGTTATTGTCCGGCCACTAATCTGCACTGAGACTGAGTAACGGGACGTTTATTCGAGATGCTTACAAGTTTAAAGTTACTTTGTTATGTGTAACACTTTATAAACGATTTATTGGGGTTTGGATCGAGTTGAAATTTCTGAGAATTGTTATCAAGCCCCGTTAGTGCGTAGCTGACTGTTACAGCTGAAATGAAACAGGTACGGGTRAGATACGTGCTTTTGTTTTGTTTTGGGCCGTGCGAAAAAACAAACATGGCTGCAGAGCACAGCTGTTTGCAGATAAGCACAATATATCGATAGCAAAAACTGCGATAGTTGACATTTTCTTGGTGCAAGCGGTCACACTATTGGTGTAGCATGCAACAGCTGTTGCAGTTGTTCCACTTTGGCTGTCGCGCTTTGTTTATGTTTTTTTTTAGTGTGAAATAAATAATAATAAAACGAAAATACCACTTTCCGCCATTCTTAATTAGCTGAAAATTATTTGGTGTGTGTGTTGGCATATGAAATAGTGTGCAGTGCAATGAGTACAGACGATTTATTGGTGCGTCATGAAAAAAGCGACGATTCAACGTCAACATCAACGTCGCCACCGACGCCAACGCCAACGCCTGTGCCCAGCTCCTCATTGAGTCGCCTGCGTAACACATTCCGCCGTACCGAAAGCATCTCTAATCATATTATTAACCAGATATCTACGCAATTCTCAAATGCCGCTGCTGCAGCGGCCGCCTCAGAGATTATAGATGGCACAACCACATACCCTGAGATGCCACAAACTGTGGCTACAGTCTCCAACACGCCAACAGCAAGTACGCAGCCCAAGCGCAAAAAGCCCGGTGAGTGCACTTAATGTATACTACAGTGAAAAGTAGCAGGAGTGAACAGCTCAACTGTTTTCCCTTATCACAAACAAATACATATCTTCCGTTAGACCAAAGCCTGAAAGCATGAATCAGAGTGTATATACGGCGAAAACTTTTAAAGCATTGATTAAAAGGCTTTTCCTTACAAATTCATTAACACTTTTTTCACAGAGAAATTCGTTATAAATAAAATATTTTATATTGTACTTACATTAAAATAAAATCATTCAATATTTATTTACTTTTCATATTTGAACTAATACTATATGAGTTATAATAAACATTAAAAAGTGTTTAGCTTTAAGATAGTGTTCACTGTACTTACTTGTTTATAACGCGAGTCATATGATTTTAAAAATATGCCAAAGTTTGAACCTTGAACCACCCTAACGAAAGCTCCTGAAAAGCTGCACTGCTAATACCCAGTTGACAAATCAATAGAAGCTTTCGCTTCAGTCTTAGTCAACGCAACAACAGGATAACTGAAAGCAGCGTCTTAAAAGACTACCAACTTCAACTTTATTATTATTTACTACGTTTTATTAAGTATATATTTATATAATAATAAATATATAAAGTGCTTGTTAACGAACTGTGCTAAGCAACTGCTGAAAACCCTCAAGCCGAACTCAGCAACTTTTTCACGTATGTTGTGTGCCGCAAGCTTTTTGCATGTATTGTACAATGCGCTCATTTTTGGCTATCTATTTTTATGTGGGCACTTGTGAAGTAAGTGCAACGCCATGCGTGGACTAGTCGAGGAGACAAAGAAGTCAAAGCTTGGCACCACCAACACCACTACCAACAACAACAACAACAATAACAACAACAGTAGCAGCAGCAGCATGGGAAGTCGTGGCAAGGCTGCGCTAACCAGCGCCAGCTCATCGCGACCCTTGAAGGGTGGTGGGACTAAAACGCCCACAACAACAACAGCAGCAGCAGTAGCAACAACAGCAGCAGCCACCGGTGTTGCAGCCAAGAAATTGCCACAAGTCGGCGCAAAGTCCAAGGCAGCTGCAACAGCAACCACCAGCAGTAGCAGCACAGCGGGTAGCTCCGGCGCTAAGCCAGGCATGGCAAAAGCAGTTAAGGCTTCGAATCCAACCCCACAAGCGTCGCAGATAGCAACAGTGGCTGTTGCAGCCGCAACCGCAACCGCACCTGCATCTGCAACACCCCAACAGGCGCCGATGCAGCCGTACAACAACAACAGCAGCAGCAGCAGCAACAACAGCAACAGCAGCACCACAATTACCTTGCCAAAGGCATCGCATGCGAATACTAGTGAGGAGCTGGCCGGTGGCGTCCAGGACACCATATATCTTTGCAATTTTCGCGTCTCTGTGGATGGGGAATGGCTGTGCCTCAAGGAGCTGCAGGACATCGATGTGGCCAACGGACAGAAGACTGTTGGTGGTGGCGCAGCTCTGCTAAATACTGCAGCATCAGCTGCTGGCGTTGGCGGTGGCGGTGGTAATGGTGGTGTGACTGGAGTTGGTGGTGCGGGTCATGTGCAACATCGCACGCAATCGCAGCAGCAGCATCATCAATTCGGGCAGCGTAACAGCAAACGCTTTTCGGGCCTATCGACGGGCAGCGCGGGAGGATTCGAGGATAACGGTATTATGGCAATTGAAAATCTAATCGGTCGTCGTCTGTGCGACGTTGTCGGCTCAAATGCACTTGCAACCGCACCGCAACAGCACCACAAAAATGTGGGCCTCATCGGTGGCACGTTAGCTGAGTGGTCGCATCTCTGTAGGTTGCTTCTTGCCGTCTCTATCTCTCTCACACACACACACACTCACCTACTCTATCTCTCTCTCTTAAAAATCTTTCGGTCTTTCTCTCTCTGAGTTGATTTACAAGCGTTATAGTTTCTGTTATGTTAACTTTGTAGTTGTGTAGCTGTTATGTTAAGTTTTCTGTTATGTTCAACATATGTATGTTAATTGTTCGCTGCTACGCCTATCCTATTGAGTAGAAGTGACTGGACTAACTAAATAACGGCAAATTTAAATGCTTAACCATAGCAGCATTGGCTTGCTAGGTTGACTGTGCCTCAATTTTGATTGGGTATTAAAAGCTGAACATGCAATATTAAATATTAGCCCTCATGTTTACATCTAACATTTCTTCTCATCCAGTTATCACTGTACTTTGACACTTTTCCTACTGTAAACTCACTAAGCATAAGCGTAGCACTAGCTAATCTTGATTTGGCATGCATTATTGCATTATTATATTACACTCTTGCTTTGCACTCGCTATTGTCTGGGCCACGTCGAGTGGGCTGACTGGCTGGCCGACCGTCTAGCCCCAATCTTGGATCTCGTCTCGTAACTAGCAGCATGGCATCGTCGACTCGAACGTGCATTGAACTTAAATAAGTAAATATATTTGTAGAAAAATAATGAAACACATTGGCGCAAAGGAAAAACGGTCGACAGTCGACAGGCGCCAGGCAAATGCTCTTTACTTGCTGTCATCGTCGTAGGTCGTTTCCCAGCTGGCACCGTTTTTGGATGACTGTTTAGAAATTGGGTGTAAGATTTCGCATAACCACGTCTCAATCGGGACTTACCTCGCCCACCGAAGAAGAAGGTGTTTGAGACTTGACTTCCACACTTTCAGTCTGCGCTTCGAGTCTATTAGCCGTCGCACTACTCGGCTCGACTTTAGGGTTGAAGAGGTTCTCTGTAATGGATGACTTCAACTTTGGGTATCATTTAATATCTCTCGCCACTTACCTGAAGCTTTCTTTTCACTGTACAGTTCTTTTTCATGCACACTCTCTCTTCTTTGGCTCGTTCTGCTCCCGCTGGGTCGTATCTGCTTTTGGGTGGAATTAGTTCGATTTTCTTTGAGTTGCTAACTACTTACTTCCTTCTCTTTTATCCTCTCTCGTGTTCTCTCTCTCGCGATCTCTGGCTCGATATCTACAACTCTGTCTCTCTCTTGGCTGTAGGCCAGCCCGCCCTTTTGTCTTTTATGCTTAGACTTGTTTAGGCGTTCGTCTGTTGTTTCCATTTTCGACACCGAGTCCAGCTGACTCGACATCTTTTTCTGTTTGTGTTCTCTGTGCTTTTTGGACTTATCATTTTGCAACTCTTCTTTCTGCTCTTCACTTCGGTCCCGATCTCTTTCACGCAGCAGATGTTGGCTTGGCTGTTTGCTGGCGACTTTGGAGTGTTTCTTCTCCGATAGGCCGTAAAAGGTATTGTGTTTCTCTCGATTCGACTTGATGGGTAGAAACTTTCTTGGAAATTGGCAAACTAACGACGATGTCGAAGAAGAATCACTGCGATAAAAATTACCTGAAGTGTGGATAGAATAATATTCAGATTAATTGCTTATTTTATCAGAAAGTTTTTTAAAAGGCAGATTCTCTACTTAATTAGATTAGATGAACTTACCATCGTCCGTTCCACGTATTTGATTTTCCATGTCATTTAGGTTCCTTGGACCCCGTTGATTGCTCATCACGCTCATGCCAGGAGTCATATTGGAGCCTCTAAGAGTAGTAGTCATAACAAGGGACTTTTTAGCAACTTTATCTGCGCCTCTCCTAAAAATTGAACTCCAGGTACTCTGCTTAGAATCATTCTTAATGGGTGGAGTTTCGTAAAAGGGTTCGACAGGCTTTTCGGTGGACTCTTTAATGATGACAGGCGGGTTGAATTCCTTTTTAACGTTTGGCTTACTTCGACTCTTGTGCAGGCAGCAACAGATAAGCAACAGTAGCAGCAGGAAGATCAGCGCCAGAAAGGCTGCCACATAGCCCACATAGTTCTCGTCGTCGCAATCGATGCATTCCTCGCCCTCTGGATTCTTATCCGTTTTGACAAACTGCATATCCGCACTGCTTTCGTTCTGATGTTGGCGCGGCGTGCGAGTCTGTTTGCGCCTTGCCGGCGTGTTCTTCGGCCTATTTTGGCCTCTGACATTGCTATTCTTATTGCTTTTATTTTTAGGCTTTTTGCTTTTATCCGCCGAGTCGTGCGCCTCTTCTTCGGGCAGAGTTTCGTAGTCCTTCAAGTCGCCTAAGTCCGGCAATTGCTCGTCCTCCTGCGAGGAGTGATCGTCTGCAGAGGTAGGGCAGGTCAGTGCCTCATAGACTTGCAGGACACCGCCTAGACCCGGATAGAACAACTCATCCCGGTAGTGCAGCTGCAGATTCTCACGTATCCAAATTCTTAATTTCTGATTGTAAACCTTTGGACTCATTCCCTGGAATCGGTAGCAACTGTTTACTGTCTTGTAGAACTTGACCAAGATGGAAGCGCTGTCCGGTGAGCGCAGATTGTAAATGCGTCGATGCTTGAAGGGCAAAAAGATATTGGTCAAGTAGCCATTGTTATCCTCCACCTCAAGGTGCGGCAATGGCACAATCATCATCTCGTTCTGCGCATCATCATTGGCACATCCATGATCCAGCAGAGCACAGTTGGAGGCGTCCATCTCCGTGCTCTGCGAATTGTTCAGCTTGATGGGCTTAATGTGAACGTTCTTTAGCCGGGCGAGTATGTCCTGCTCGGGCATCTTCCAGCCGTTGCCGTTGGTGTTGAGCACCGTCAGACACTCGCGGTAGAGCGCCACCAGACGCTGCACAGTGCACAGCTTGAGGCGGCCAGCATAGTAGGACACCTGTGCCACCGGCACCATGTAGTACCTCAGATATCCACCCAAAGCATCGTAGAAGGCGCGCTGCATCAGGCGACGCGACTCTATATCCGACACTTGCTTGAGAACGTGATTGACGGTATTGAAGTACTTCATCAAGGTATAGACAACGCTATCGGCGATCAGGGTATTCGGATAGAACTTGGGCACCAGCAGCTCAAAGTCTCGGCGTGCCGATATAAGTGCTATATCCTCTGTAGAAAAGCAATGCTTGGGATACCCGCCAAACAGATTGCTGCCCATGAAGTGCTCCAACCCACTCTCGCATTTCTGGACGACGTTGCTATCGCACTGTTGTTGTGGCAGGGACGACGATGTCGACGGAGGCTGCACTTGCTCCTCCGGTTCCAAGTCGACAGCGGCCTCTGTGTGCTGGGGCGAGGCAGCTGCATAATATGTGGCTCGGATGCGATCCTCAATGCTGCGCAATCGGTCATTCTTCTCAAACGGATTGTCCTTGAGCCGTCCCACCTTGTCCTGGCCCAAGTCATCATTGGTGTTCAGCTTATTTCTGTACTGATGCAGCTCCGAGCTGAGCATCGATTGCAGCGTCAGCTCGTTCTGAAAATCATTCGGCACCTCCAGCGTGGACAGATCGATGCTGTAGATGGGACAACCGCCGGGCGCCAGGAGCAACAGCAACGAGAACAGCACACAAATGTTCATAATAATAATTTCCTTATTGAGTTTTCACATTGTTTTTTTTTTTCCTCTGAAACTTAATGCGAAGGCACGTGAAGCATTTCGGAGTGTAGCTAGCAGTAATTCAGCCAATCAGCGACAGAACGTAAAGAGCTGAGACTAAAGCCCAACTCTCGGACTCTTCCCTTGCAGCACGCGACACGGCCGAGATTGAGCGCAGCAATTTGGTCAACATCTGCAAACTGGTGGTGAAGGAGCTGCTGGAGCAATCTTTGCGGTATGGCCGCATGCTCGACTCGGACCATTTGCCGCTGCAGCATTTCTTCATTGTCATCGAGCATGTGCTGGGCCATGGCCTGCGACCCAAGAAGGGTCTGTTGGGGCCGCGCAAAGAGCTGTGGGATCTGCTGCAAAGCGTCGAAAACTATTGCCCCGAGGCGCAAGATATTACGGCCAGTGTTCGGGACTTGCCCACGGTGCGCACACACATAGGACGGGCAAGGGCCTGGCTGCGCATTGCCCTGATGCAAAAGAAGCTATCCGATTACCTGCAGGCGCTGATCGAGCATCGCGAGGACTCACTGTTCGAATACTACGAGCCGCACGCTCTGATGATGAGCGACGAGGTGGGTTTCGCTCCGTGGCATTCTGCTCTGCCTGCTGACTCCTGCAACCCATTGCCTTTTAGATTGTTGTCATAATGGGCATCCTGGTGGGCCTGAACGTCATCGATTGCAATCTGTGCGTCAAGGAGGAGGATCTCGACTCGCAACAGGGCGTCATTGACTTTTCGCTATATCTACGCTCCAGCTCTCGCAATGCTGAGGTTAATGAGGAGTCTAATGCGCCAGTCGCTCAACTAGATGACGCCGGACAGGGCAATATGATTGCCGTGCTGGACCAGAAGAACTATATCGAGGAGCTCAATCGGCATTTGAAGTGCGTTGGCCGCAGCTCAAATAGTTCTGCTCAAGAAGTTTCTCAAGCGTTCATCTTTTCACAGCGCCACTGTGGGCAACCTGCAGGCCAAGGTCGAGTCCCTGACCACCACCAATGCCCTAATGAAGGAGGATCTGGCCATAGCGCGCAACAGTTTGCTCGCCCTGCAGGCCGAGAATCAAGCCATGCGTCAGTCGGCCAGCCAACAGGCGGCTATAAATCAGTCGGACAACAGCTCCACAGGCAGTGGCAGCGATAAGGACAAGGACAAAGAGAAGGACAAAGTAGATGGCCTCAACACGCAGCTGGCGGAGGAGCGCAAGCGCTGTGCCGAGCTAGAAAAGGAGCTCAATTTGCAGATCTCGCTCAAGGCGGAGTCCGATATGGCCATGAAGTTGCTGGAGAAGGACATTCACGAGAAGCAGGACACGATTGTCTCGCTGCGTCGTCAGCTGGACGACATTAAGCAAATCAATCTGGAGATGTATCGCAAGCTGCAGGTGCGTATGGACAAGGACAGACGATGGACACAGCCAGAGATGGTCGCGTGTGAGAAAGTAAGGGAAGCACTTTTAGGGAGTTACATTGTATTGAAATAGGGTGAGGAGGAGGAGTGGAAGTAAATGCAGACTTAGCCATGCAAGCAGGCAATATTACGTATAGACATTAATGATTAATAACAAGGATCAAGGATATCGAATGAAAAGTAAACTCAAGGGAAAATATGTATACTTTGAAGCGGGATAAACGACTTGGTTCTATCAGGCTTTATAGCCCACATTGACTACATCAGAAGAACTTAAACTTGTATGAGATGTTAAACGGGATAAATCTATTCTAACTTGATATGATGACGATACTCGTTGGGTTAACTTATCATTATGTACGGTGCCCCAAATTGCTTATCCAACAGGGAAACTCAATTCTAACTTGATGTGTTTATGATCTCTTTGGGGTAACCTATCCCGTTTTAGGGCTTCCCAAATTTCTTTCTCGCGACCATCTCACCAGCTAAACACAAACACACATACGTACACATAAGAAACATCCTCATTCATCTCACATTCATTAAGCTAAATTCATTTGGTCGACAGTCATTCGTTTCTTTTTGTATTTTTCTTCGGTTTTGAAATGTAAAAATTCAGTAATTCAATTCATACTCCCTCAATCGTAATGTGGCTGTTGATAAGACGCACAAATCAAATCAAATTGAATCAAATCAAATCAAATCAAATCAGATAATATCCCGTACTCCAACCCGTTTGAAATTCAATTAGGAATGTGAAGATGAACTCACACAGAAGGGCGAGATGGTCTCTCGTTTGCAAACGAAAGCCTCACAAATTGGTAACATTTTACAATCGCTAGAAAAGAAATACGAGTCCAAGCTCGTCGACCAGCAACAGGTGAGCGCCAGCTGTGGCGGCGATCGATCGCCCAACACGCGTCGCCAGCAGAATCTACAGAAGTTCGAGGCACTCACCAAGAAGCACAAACAGGACACCGGGCCGCCCATGAAGCGACTGCACCTCAAGATGGACGGCATACCGCCTTTCAATCCCAACAACTATCGCAAGTCGCCGGCGGGTTCTGCATCGCTGCAATCGCAACCGGATCAATCAACAGCCAAGACGCCAACCTCTGCCAAATCCCTGAACGATGAGCTGGCCGAGGCGGCGGCTGCAGTCACTCAGCACTTCAAGGGCGGGGGCGATGGCTCACGCAGCGACTACGCCTTGTCCCGGGAACAGGAGGCAACAGGACAAGGCGACGACTAGACAAGCGACAAACTACAGTTTATTTAATTGTTAAGAAGGCATTTACTTAATATACTCGTACTACAGTGATCGCTCGCTAAACCAAACAGTGCAATTCGATTCGGCTCGAAAAACGATTTTATTTTTTAAGATTTTAACTGAGGATGGCTCTTACATATGATTTAAGAATTGATAATCCTCTGTGACTCTAAACTGCAATATTATAAAAATAAGTTGTAATGTATAATATGTAATTCATATACTTTGACTGATTCATTGACTAATGATCTCCGCTATTTATATATTTCTACATTATTTCTACAGATCCTGACAGATTGATTGAGTGACTGACTAATGACCAACAATAAGCTGGAAGAGTCAAAAATCATTTCAGCAATTTACTAAAAGATCTCTCAACTTATAACTCAATTGCAATTTATTATTGATTGATTGACTGATTGATATCCTACGCTAAGACTCTTTTCTTATGTCTGCTTTAGTATGCTTTTAATATGTTCCAATTAACGAGCGATCACTGTATTCAATTTATTGTATGCTAGGCAGGTGGACAACTAGAAACCATTCAAGAACTAAATGTTGAGCTCTACAAGTCCCAAAAATATATAAATATACAAATAAGTAGAGTTGTTAACCTAACTGTAACTCAAAGTGCAACGGCTTAACAATATGTTTATATTTTAGAAGGAATATAAAATGTATGTTGCCTTTAGTACTAGTACTATATATATAAATATATATAGTAACAAAGTCATATGTTATAGATATATATAAACCTATAATACATAGTGCTAACAAGTTGTTGAAGATTCTGCAAATTATAATCTATTAGCTGAATGCCCCAAGCCCCCTCTTAAGTATTCCAAGCATTCCCAATTGCATCGTGATGTATAGAGCTGACTTATTACATATAGTATATGAAATATATTCAAACGATATGCATATAAATACTCTCTAAATGCTTTAAATTTAATTTAAATATACTGAAAATCAAGTCTATCTAGTCAAATAACAATGTAATTATATAAATATGTATGTATGTATCAATACATGTTAATGGGACTACATATACACACATACAAATCCACACAAACACACGCTAATACATATATATATATATACAAAGAAAATAAAACTTATCCTAACTGAAGCCTTTCATTTCGTACTAACCCAAATATAATCGCATTATATGACGAACGTCTTGGAAGAACTGGTACAAAAGATTCTTGCCTTTTTTGTCTTTATCAACAGGATTGCAATGCCTCGCTGACCCACAAAACGGAGCTAATGAGTAAACTAGAGTGCCAAAAGGAAGATATGGCCAGCACAATTGAACAATTAGAGAAAAAGTAAGAACTGAATCGAGTTTGTTGATAGATGATACATGAATTGGAAAATGTTGCATTGATTGAAGCTTTATAGAGGAGATAGAAAGACAATAATTGAGTTGACCTAATGATCATGATATTTGGGAATAATTTGACATACGTGTTTCGCTGAATAAAAAATATGAGCTGTCTTTGTCACGTTCGATTGTGATTATAGGGGTCAAATCAGAGTGCAATCTGCTTTTTCTGAGCTTGATTAATATAACAATTAAAATATATGTACTTTTCTAACTTTCATAATATAACTTGTTCTTGGACGCAAAAGCTTTACTCGATGATTTAGAGACATGCTTTTGCTTGCATGAAAAGAGATAGAACAGAGATAAGCATAATGACTTGAGAGCTGATCATGAACTAGACTGTATTTATGTATATAGTTATATCGGCTCTATATTCTATATTTCCTAGCAATATTTTTAAAAGTGTATCAAAGTTGTTAGTAAATCGTTTTATAGTGAGGTACTTATTTAAAAGATATTAAACTTTAAAAATGTAGAAAAATTCAAATAAACTAGATCAACAAGTTTTCAGACTACCCTCGTACTATACATTCTCGACCATAAGCATACGCCCCTTAATATGAACGGCATTAAAAATTTTAATTTTGCTATCCGCAGATGGACTAATGATAAGAGCAACTTGGGCGAGATATTGAAGACCACCTCTCAAACGCTGTCCACGCAGGTGAGCGCTTGCGAAGAACGTGCGGCACGGGCAGAGGCTGAGACGCGCATTGAGCGGGAGTGGCGCGTATCCTTGCAGGAAAAGGAGCTGAAGCTGAAGGAGAAGATAGCGACGCTGCAGATGTGCGTGAAGGAGCTCAATGAGGAGAGGCAGAAGAACGAGAAGCTGAAGCTGGACTTGGAGAAGGTGCGCGCCCAATGGTCGGAAGCGCAGACAACGCTCGAGGAGCTGGGCATACAGCTGAGCGTTAGTAAGCTGAAAATATCAGAGTTCCAGGACAACGAACGACGTCAACTGCGGCAGCAGCAGCAGCTGCTCTCTGGCTCGTCGCAGTCGTTGCAGCAGACGCTGCCGGAGAATCCAGTCAGCTCACCGGGCATATGGGCGCCCGATTCCATTGCCACTCACTGCACGGCCTGCACCAGGGAGTTCAATTTGACGCGCCGGAAGCATCATTGTCGTAGCTGCGGCGAGATCTTCTGCAAGGCCTGCTCCGAGCATACCCTGCCTTTGCTCAACGCACAGGGTCAACCCGGCCGGCCGGTGCGTGTGTGCAATGCGTGCTATACGGCTACCTCTGGCAAGTGATCCACAACGAAGCTCATTTCCATATATAATATTAAACAATTGTAAGCTATTTACGTATAGTTTGTTATAAACAAATATTGTTCATCGTCAGTTTTTTTGGTAAACAGCGCTTGCGTGTTTGCAATAAATGTATTTTTATATTCCTATCATTTGAGATGAAGCCTTATTAAGTGTTAAATAAATGCACACAATACATTACATGTTTTTATTTGAATTTTCGAAACAGGTTTTGTCTCTGTTAACTTAACAGCAGTTGACTGGTCACCTTGCATTTAGGTATTTTTGTGGTATTTATTGTGTTATCGATAGTCGATAAGCTGTTGCAATTGATGACAATGCAGCCCTTTGGATTGGCGGTAAAATTTAAAATTTGCATTGGGTATTTGTCAAAGTCCCATTTTTTATCTGCACATTATCGTATAAAAATAAAATATTAAAAGAGTATGTGGTTTTAAAATATCTTCCTAAACAAATTCATTGCACAATCTCTATTCGATATTTCCTAACAATACTGATTGTACACCTGTTCTTAAGCAGCTCAGTACCCGTTATAGACCTGTTCATAAATGTATATGGTCAAAACTGTTTTCAAATAAACTCCCGGCAAAGAAACAACTGCAATTCCGACGCATTTTTTGTCAGTCAATTTGTCGGCCATTATATAAAGCCAGAGGACGCAGTTTTTTAATTAAATCAAATAAAATTCACAGCTGGCTGCGTACAAAATGGAAAAAAAAGACTACATAAATACAGCCCGAGGGTCTATAAAAGTTGTCATTACCATAACTTCAGAGTGAGAGAGTGAAAGAGAGGGCGAGCAGTATATAGGTATTAATAAACCCGATATTTGGCTGGGAACCACGCGCCCTGACTCAGGCCCAGGCATATGGACAGATTCGAGAGCTCAACTAATAACAGTTGCCCTCAACGAGCTGTCAAAGGGGCGTTTATTTCCACGCAATTGTAGTTGTAGTTGTTGTCGTTGCTTTCACACATAACTGAGGGTTAGATAACATAACTGGGCGGGTTGCTCAACTATGCAGCTATGGGGGTTAACTCATCGAAATCGGAAACAGTGTTCGCTAGCACAAAAAATTATGAAAACAATGGCTGGGAAGGTACTCAACAAAATTACATAGTATATAGATGCCATTTGAAAAAATACAAATTAGATTAAATGACAAATGAAATTGGAGAGAAACTGTACAAAGGATAACAAATATATAAATAGATGTATGTACGACCAAATATATAAATGGAAGTTCTTAATGTTTTCAAAATTTTCACTTTAACTCAGGTATTTTAATATTAGAATATATATATATA